TGGTATCATCTATACTAATATGTACATATGCAGGTTGGAGGCCTTCCTTTGATAGAGCTAAACCACCTGGAGCTGCAATTCCTGCTGCTCAACGACTTTCGTCTGGCCGTCCCCGTCGAGGAGCTCGAGGCCTACGGCACCATGCTCGTCCAGTTCTATGCCAGGGAACTCGTTGCGCAACAGCAGCAACAACAACAACAACAACAACAGGGAACACCTCAGCCCGGTTCCAACGCCACGGCCACAAGCGCCATGCAACACCAGGGCGATCCTCCGGCCCAGAACGACAGATTCACACCAACACATACATAAAACGGCGCGCGAGTTACGAGTTTTTTTTTTTTTTTTTTCTCCCTTTCCCTTCCTCTCCTTGCTTTTTTTTTTTTTTGTCTATCTTTTCATCTTTCCTCTCTGTCTATCCTTTTCTAGTTTTCTTGACTTTTCTCCCCTATGATGAAACGGCAGTTGGTCCTTGTCAGACGTGCTCCCTCCAGATGTTGTGTACAGTGTACATCATACCATATCCCCTCCCCTCTTATATACTGGAGATATCCATTCCTCCCCTTCCGCTAACCCTCCCTGTATGTCTTGCTCTCCCTCTAATGGATGTATTTATTTGATGTCTGGATGGATGGACGCTTGATGGCCCCCCTTGTCTAGTCCTTGCCCTTAACCCCTTTTCCCTCTCTCTCTCTCTCTGCGTCCACTTTTTGAATCTACGGAGTAGCTACTTAGATCCGGAAACATCATCGTCGCTCATAATAATGTCTATTTTACCTCCCACGCGCGTCTCAGCCTCCCTTCTAGCTCGTCTCAGCTTCCTCCTCGTCGCTGCCCCTGAATCAGCCCTGAAGAAGCCCCTGAAAAGAGCCGCCAGCTTATGTAATCCGGCGTCTAATTCGGCCTTTTTTCTTCTTCTTCTTCTTCTTCTTCTTCGACTCCGTCAAAAACTTCGAACTTCTCGACATCGCAGCTTCAACGCTTCACTTCACTGTCACGCATTGTATAATAATATCTAATAGCCATCCCAGTCCTCCTGTTACTGCAGGACACACAGATAATACTCCTACGTCTACGCTGCGACTGCGATAACCTGCTTGTTCCCGCCGTCTAGATCCACGCGCGGTTCCGCCCTCTATCGACTCCGAGCCCTGTGGCGCCCCCTCCCCCCGATCAGACCTATCACCTCTGTCCGCCGTCCGACTTCCCTTCCCCCGCCGCCCTTTTCCCGGCAGCCTTGACGGCGCCAGCTTCATTGGGGATCGTTGCAACTGCATATCTAACCCGGCGAGGATCCCTGGGCCGTCGCAGTCGCCAACCACCAGCCTTACCTTAGCTGCTCTCCCGTCCCAGTCCTGTCCAGTGCTCGCTCCCTGCGCAAAAACTAAGCTGTGCCCTAGCGAGCTCCC